ATAGAGACAGAGCAGACACACAGAGTGAAAATATAATTCTTGGATAGGTTAAGTACATGTTTGAACTCTTGCAAGCAGAAGCGATTTGCTGATGACTTAATCATTTTCTGGTCAATTATCTGTAAGGGCCCTTGCAACTCCATGGCAATTATGATGCAAGGTGGCCTTTTGGGAGAAACACCAGTCTTCCTGCTTCTGTTTCCTTGTTACGTCCATTCCCTGCCATAAATTTTCATTCATTTATTATCTTTGCTAGTATAGAAACAACTTTCTGTGTAGTAATTACAGCCCCAGTACACACTTTAGCTGTCATCTTGTTGGGAGTCTGGATGTTCTCATGGCCAGTGTTTGATAAGTGGTCTTTGTTGATTTTTGATGAATGTACATCTTTTTCTGGGGGCCCAGGGAAGGGAATGCCTGTGATGACAAAAGGCAGGGGGTTGTCTGTCAGCCCGCCTGATATAAAGCTATGGATTTATTGGTTTTGACTTGGCAAGTTGAGATGCATCTGTCCTTTACCGCGAACAGAGGACTGTCAATAAGAATGGTATCATTTGCAGTGAATCCAGGAAGACATCTTCATTTGAAAGGTCATCAGGAAACCTTGATAAACAAAGTTCTAAAGCCAAATCATGTTAGGGTAACTTGGCATTTAAAAAAAAAAAAATGTAATAAAGTGTCTGTCTGGGCCGTCTGTGTACTCTTGTCTTAACCGCACCTTCCGAACAGCATAGACTCCAACAGAAAGGGGCGTGGGTCTTACCCAGCACGGGCTGTAGGCAGTGTGCGAACAGGCATGGTGGTCTGGCCAGACAGAGGTGAGCACCGTATGCAAACAGAAAGTGGAGTCACAGCCGGATGGCCGTGGGGATCACCCATTACCAAAACATAGGCCAATGCCAGACTCCTCCCCTTTTGTGTGAAAGTTGTTTTCTGGCATTGCACGAGGCCGTCATGTGATAACACAAATTCTCATTAAAAAAAAAAAAAGAAAAGAAAAAAGAAATCACACTAGTGGTGAAATTGTGTGGCTCACCATCTCTGGTACAGGTTTCCCCCGCTACCCAAAAGTAGAGCGTTCCTATAAAACTTTTCATAAGCCCAAATGATAGAAAGCCAAGGACCAATTACCGTCTATTTATACGGAAAAAAACGTTGAGCCTTCACAGACCCAAAAAAATAAGCTCTCTTAGACTTTTCTGATACCCTAGGACACTTCTTGATAACAGATGCACAAAATAAATCAAGATAAAGCACAGATGCTCACAGACACAGTGCAAAGCCATGGCGCCATGATGCTGAGATGCTGAGCCTGGCTCCTGGAGAAGGTGCTTGGTGGGGCCCCTCTCGCTGCTCAGGGAGCGTGCCACATCCCTAATGGCTCACTGAAAAGCTGAACACGGTGTGCCCTTGTTGCTTTGCTTCTGAAAAGCAGATATCCTTTCTGGATTTCTTTCGGTTCGTGAAACCGGGTACCAATGTAGGTCTTTTCGTAAAAGCAAAATGGTGGAACGTGCACTTTTGAAAAGCAGGGGAAGCTGTACTTGCAAGTAATTACTCTTCCCAGCACTCTGTGGCTTGAATGCATTTCCATAAAAAACTATACAAATGCTGTTTGTTCCACTGAAAGAGGAAGAACGGTGTTTAGAATAAGATATTCAGCTTCTTAAGGAAATTTAGATTTAGAATGTGAGTTTTCCATTGGAAATGTGGAGGACTGGGAGGTGATTTCCATGGCTGATAGGTTTTATAATCTCTTATACATGTACTACTGCTTTCACCCCTCCTGCCACCATTTTGGTGGAATCCAGAACATACTCTGTCCAAGTAAGGAGGACATGAGAACTTTAAAAAGACTTCAAATGCTTAAAGAATAAATGAAGAAAATGGCCATGTTCTTATCCTTTCCAACATTTAAATTTGACAGTTCAACAGATGCATTACCTCTCAGCTCATCAAGTGGTTTAGCAATTTCCGTGAGTTTTACTACATTCAGATGGAGAAGTACGCGCGTCAAGCCATCAACGATGGAGTCACCAGTACGGAAGAGCTGTCTATAACCAGAGACTGTGAGCTCTACAGGGCTCTGAACATGCACTACAATAAAGCAAATGACTTTGAGGTAGGAACTCATCTTTATTGTTTGGTCATCTCCCTTTTCTTTTTAAAAAAAAAAAGAATTCATTTTCTTTGGCAATGTCCCCAAATCTGTTTTAGTCTTGGTATCTCACACGAGCATCCCGCAACAGGGGAAGAGGTGAGGCCGGAAGAAGGAGCCCTCACTCCGTGGGCAGAGTCCCGGGGGACTAACCCACTCCTACGTCCTTTCCCATTCCCCGGCTCTGCTGCATGCATGAAGACCCATGGGCCACAGAAAAGGGAACCCAAGAATTCAGAGAAAATTATAGCAAGGAACCCATACACACTGACTCCCTTTCCAGGGAAGAGGTCCCCACTCTAACAGGCCTTTTTGCTCTTAGGTTCCGGCATGTCAACTGAGCAGACTTAGGCTATGTGCGATGATGGCTGCAAACGTTGTTTTCTAAAAAGGTCTAAAAAGGTGGCTGGGGGAGTGATTCTGTGGTTTCTCCTTCAATCGACATTTATTTCCTTTATGGAAGAAATGGTACGAGAATTTGCTTAGTATGTATTATGAGAGAGCCATCCACATCTTTTTAGGGTTTTGTTTCTGTTTTTGTTCTTTTCAGGGGAGAGCCTAGGGTGTTTATGTCCATATGTGTAGCTGTACGAGCATGCCGCTCTTTGTTCCTACACACACCCTCACACACACACACACACACATCTACAACATGCATATTCTAGATACACACAAAGCAGTGTAGACGATTCCCAGAAAGCAATGGCTACACAACAATGAAAGATGCATGGCTATGAGTAAGGTGTTTCTTTACTGGCTAATGCTGTGCCTCAGCAAACCGTTTTCATTGCAACGTGATGACTCTATGTGACAACACTAGCGAATCTCCCAGCCCTCACAAAAGCATTTTGCTGAGCCCTGCTGGCTGAGGCAACAATAGCGAGAGGTGGGAATGTGGCAGAGTTCTACAGGCTGAACCCCCGGTGGTGAGTGTAGACAGGCTGTGGGTGGCTTGCCATGTTGGTCCTTTTCTTGTGTTATCTTCAGGATAGGAATGTTCTTCTCTGCCATCGGCTCCTACAGAGGACCTTATATTAATATTCATGCTTTCCTCACATAGATAGGTACCCCGAGACACCCAGGAAGTTGGCTACTTCAAAGGAAGAGAAGGGCATCTTGGTCTAGACTGGTCAATGAAAGGGACCTGCCCTTTCCTTTTGGGGCTCTTCTCACATGGGTTTTGGCAGTGCACATCAGTGATGGTGGCTGACCAGGCAGCAATGGTGGAAACTTAGCCATGGGGAAGTCATGGTTTTCCCTTGAAAGTTTGAACGCTTCTACTGTAAGCCAACGTGTCTTTGGTATCCACGGTGAAATATGTGTTTCTTGCCAAAGGTGTTACGAGCAACGTTTCTCTTTGGCTGAACACATTACAAGTGGGGATCCTTCTTGCATTGCTTCTCCATTGTAAAGGGTCCGTGTTTAAAGTCTGTTAGAGAGCGCAGGTTTACACTCTGAGAGTTTTGACAGAACCCTCTCAGGATTTCTTCTAGAGCTGACAAATAGGACTAGGGCTAGCCATTTTAAAGAAATCCTATGAAGACTTACATTTCTTTTTCTCCCCCTTTCTGTTGAGTCTCTTGCTCTAAACTTTACCCAAAGAGAAATCAACTGTATGCTGGTGAACTCTTTATAGCTGATAACGGCAAATATTTGTTCGGCGACGTGCGTCAAGCTTTCTAAAAGAATTGCCCAAGATTCGCGCCATGAGTTCTGCATTTTTGCTGTGTAATACACTCTGAGATGACAAATCCTTACGGTGCACGTTCGGATTTTTAAGGTTCTTAAACCTTACCTGGTTGGAACTTAACCCCCTGTTCACAGCGTAAGGGCCAAAATGACACAAGCAGGGGCGGCTGGCATCGAGAAGTACCCAACAAGCTGTTCCATTTAGCAGCATCTAAATCCTCCCTTAATGTGATTAACATCTGATATTTCTCTCTTTGTGAATCATACCCACTTCCAGCCAGGACACCTCTCCTTTATCTGCAGTGTCTATTTTAAGACTGCTTCAGTGCAAGGAGTATGGGGCCCGGGGAGCAGTTTTGTCACTTCTCATGTGACTTCAGACAAGTTATTGGTTTATTCTGGGCCTTTTCCTTCTTGAGTAAAACACTAGGATCTTTCCGGAAATGCGGTAAGACGCAGAGCAGGAACATGGGTTCCGTGCTGTTCCCTCCACTCGCCGATAGGCTCAGACGTGCACACACACGCCCGCCGCCACAGACGGTCGCTAAATAGATTTTCATTTCGCTTCCCACTTGGGCTCGTTTACTAACAGAAGCTTCGGATGAGATGGTCCCTTCCCTTCTATGCCTTGGTGCATGGAAGTCAGTGCTGAAGTGAGATGCTCAAAAAGTCACTGGTCTTATCAGTGTGGTTTTACCACTGCTGACGGCGGCCACGAGCCACAGCAGACCCAGCACCTTGAGTAGAATATCTCAGCTGGTGCTTTGTGCACTCCTTGACTTTTGTATTTAACCTTCTTTTAAGATCAAGTAAAGTGAATCTGTGGTCTTATAGGAGCAAGCGAAGAGGATGGCCAAGTAGAGAACGGTACATCTTGTGGGGTTTTTTCTTTCTTTCTTTTTTTTTTTTTTTTCCCTAATTTTTAGACAGGGATGGAGCATGGTAGAGAGACTTTGAAGTTATGGCTACATGTTGCCCAAAGACCCAGTCCGTTCCGAGGACTATCTATTCCCCCCCAATGAAATATTAGTTGGTCAAATAATAAAACAGCTTATTGGTGGCATTTTTAAGTTTCTCAATCCGTTGTTTGTGACAACAATAAGATAGCTAACGTTTATTGGCTATACTAAATCCTGGACACTCTTCTCAGTGTTTTACCAGTATTAACTGATTTAATGTGAGCAATAATAACGCTGTGGATGTTAATAGAAGAAAATGTTTAGTTTGCCTAAAGCCTTATCCTGTTTTTTAAGTGATTCTAAACTGGTGGGAACAGGTAGAGGCAGGGAAAGAGAGAAAGAGGCTAACGCTTTCCCTCCTTCACCATGACTTTCTTCTTTCTTTCTCTTCTGCTACTTGTCTTTTTTCAGCTTTGTGCTCCGTCTGTCTCTGCCTCTGTCATAAGCTGGCTGGCGGCACCTCTGTCCCCGCCTAGCACCATCCCCCTCCAGCCCCTGCTGCTCCTGGCTCTCAAGGCCAGAGTGGTTGCTGACCCCTGGCCTGCAGGAAAATAAAGCAGATGGGGAAGGTTATCACTAGCGAGGAGGGAGTGGCTTCGATCTCTCTCCTCCTCTAGACCCTGCGTTTCCTGGCCTTTATGAGTCAGGACCTTCTAAGTGACAGGAGGGCTTGTTCTGCCTTTTGTATCAGTTTACACAATGGCCAAGATTCTTGGCACAGCACTTAGTGTGGTGAGAGCTTGAGAAGACCCAGGGGAAGTGGGAGAAGACCCGGAGGGGGAGGGGCACGCACCACGCGCCCGCGCCCTCAGTCTGTGCTGGAGGAAGGAAAGTTGGCCACCTCGCACGGGGTGGGGCATCTCGCTTCTGAAGGTGAGTGTGTGAAGGTGTGCAGGAAAAGGGTGTTTAATTACAGGCTGCATCTTTCACTCCTACTTCTCACGTTTAATGAGATTGGCAACAATAAATTTGTCTTTCCAGGTGTTATGGTATAGATTTCCATGCTTCATTCTCACTTCCCTTTGAAGAAGTTCCAACATCTTTTTATAGGGAGGGAGAGGAGGGTTGGGATCCCTTCCCAGTTTTTAAATCATACTGATACTTCTGACTTTAGGGGCAGATGAGTTGGATTTTATTACTTTTTTGTTTCCCTCACAACTGTGGCAGGAAGGAAGGTAATGATGGCTGTCACTTTCCAAGGCTGCCCCCACGCTCCCTGTCATTCTCCGGTACTGGGAGGAGGTAGCTCTCGCCCCTCCGTGCCCGGCCGCCATCCCTCCCAGGCCTGCCAGTGCCAGACATTTACCTGCAGGCAGGGTCCAAGTGCCCTATGAGTGTCCCTAGCTCCGCCGCTCCCCAAGACCCAAGTGTGGGGATGGGAGGCTGAGAAAGAAACAGAATGGGGGGAACTTGACTCCTTGATTAATGGGCTCGTACAGGCCGTCTCCTAAGACACTGACACCCCACCCAGCAGATGCTTCGTCCCAGAGCCTATGGTTCAACTCTTTTCCAGGTGTCCCATGACCGGCAAGAAGGGTGGTTCCGCGGACCCACTTCTGCCTTGCCTTGCTTCGCCCTTAGAAAGCGAAAATAACACCCCAGCACCCCTCCTATCGCACCCCTACCCCAGACACTGAACAACACGTGCTGAACACATCCTCTCCACCCCGCCTGCCCCCCACCCCGTGCCCAGCCCTCCCGCTTCCCACACATCCCGCGTTGAAGAAGATTTAATGTATTTGGAAGTTTTTCATTCACATTGTCATCTCTTTAAAGAAAAATGAGGACAGGTGGATTTAGGAAGCGTTTCCCTCCGCTCCAAAGAGATACTTAAATATGAGTGATCATTGGGGAAACTGGCACACGGGTGAAACCCTCTTACTGCCGCTGCTGTCTTTTTGGCCTCGGAGCCACTGAGCCGTTTGAGTGATCACATGACCCGCACCCTTGGTGGGCGGCGAGGAGGAAAAGACGCTCTTCCCATTTCTTCCCCTGCCAGTCCCGCCACTGACAAGCCAAATTGATCTTTTAAGAGACTAAATGAATGTTCTCTAAATATAAGTAGACACATGGCTGTCTGGGAACACATTCCTGTACAGAATGATGGCCTGAAGAGTGAGGGAGAGGACGGTAAAAGACGCCAGCTCCGAGGTGGGCTGGAAGGGGTGGGGGGTGTGGGGGGCAGAGGCAGGATTGTGCCCGCACGGAGCTTCGTTTTTGCACCACTGTCCTTTTGGGATTCAAGGTGTTGATCAGTATAATGAAGCGGGACCATTGATTTATCATCTGTTTGGTAATGTCGTTGCATTTTTAGCTCCCTGTGTCTTTTTTGTCATTGGGTTACATTCAAGCACAGTAAGATCAGCTTTAAAACCTCCTTACTCAACAGCTTTATTAGTTATAGCATTCCATGACCTTTCTCAACATTCTTAAAGAAAAAGATACAGTGTAACGTCGCTTCACTTTGCTTATTGTCCTTTGTTGGGGTGAACAAAGCATTTTCCACAGTGGCTATAGCACATAATTATACAACTTTCAATGGCAGTGTCTTGGCACATATCAAAGTTCAGAGAAGCCTTTAGAAAAAAAAAATGTTTTGTGGCAGCCTAGGGAGGGTCTCATCTTTCCTTCAGAAAATAGTTCAAGGCTCTTCTGTCAAGCTTCCCTACTTAGAGCTTTTTCTCCTCCTGCTTC